TTGGATTTCTACCAAGAGAATGACTGCCAAGTAGACCAACGAATCTTATGGTGTAAGGAAGTGTTCGAGAAGTTCCTTCCATAATGTGAGAATGTGAGATACTCTTTCAATAATCGTGATATATATAGTCTTTGAAACCTGACCATGGATGGAAAGGTAATTATCACCAGCCAAAATATGTACAGTAAATGGACTCAAATTACCTGCATACGAGAACGTACTCGCTAATGCTATAGTCTGCTGACGATATGACGTGTTGAGACTCTTGAACAGTTAGATTCGTTGTCCTAAAACACGTTCAAATCCGAGACGAAAAGTCAAAATGACTATTTCTAAGACATCGAACCCTTGAGTAATTTCCAAAGAGTGAAACATCGAAAGAAGAAAATCTACGATTTGTAACGGCAATTCGCAAACGCTATCTTTATATCTCGTGACTCGTATCCTTGAATTACTCAAACTTGATGTGTTAACTACACTCTTGAAACATCTCGCTTGATCAATCTTGAAAAGATTGAATTCCATTGTTGTATCAAAATATTAAACCCTTGGGAACTTGTCTTAATTCATCAAGATACGTTATACCGATCTTTGAAAACTGCACTCTGTGAACTACGGTAAAAGCATTCTGATTGGAATATTATGTTGAGCCTCTCTTTGTGAACCACAAAATGGTTGATGCGATTACGTTATCTCTAAAGATTATTATCGATGATCTCATTTGACCAAACAAACTCCGTTATGACCCTACTAAGGGAATGTATGTGCAACAACCAGAGAAGAAGTGACGCCACAAGGATCAAGCTGAATCATTCAAGTGAAGATTCCGAACCTATATGCGATGTTGGTGTAAGAACTAGTAAAGATTCCTCACTCTATGAATTCATGAATTGAATCACGCACTGAAGATATTATCTTCTTCACTCAAAATGAAATCAACCATAGTGTTACATCAAACCTGTCATTATCAAGAACGTATCTGGATATATTCCAAACTCGATGAAGAAAGTTGAATACGACAAGACGTATATGAAACGCCACTCTAACGTTATCACCTGTGGATACGAATTAATGCAAAGACTCATTAACGATAATGAGATCTATCATGAAGTAAACGAAGAAATGTTTTGGTATAAGGTCGATAAATGACAAGCTACTGTACAACGAGTAGTACCTTCTCATAATGCATGATAAATCCCATACCCTGAAAATCTTGGACCACGAAAAGCCATTTGATGTTACTTACAAATCATTCTGAACTATATGAATAATGTCAAGATGTCTTGAATGACTTGTATGATTTCGCTAAAACGTATGGATTGAAACAACCTCGGAATCTCCTACTACATCTATTGTGATTCAAAACTACAAATGCTGCTAAGGGACTTTCAATCAAAGAAAGAATGTTGTTGACTAATGACATACAATCGAGATTTGTGAATAAACGAAATAATGTACAAATATGTCTAGTATGATCCAAAATACGATGTTATACCTTGCAAAGGAACTTAAGTTATGGTTGTTGAATCTGAGCGGGAACCTACGAAATGGATTGTTGGATGCCTTGCCTATTAATCTCTTGGAGAAAGAACGAGTTTGATAACATCGACAGTTTGAGAATACGTATCCGTTTGGACAATGAG